GGTCGGACCCGGACTCAGGCGACTGAATAGAAGCGAAAGGGCGAATTTTTCTGGGTTCTTTTGTAAAACGCATGAGATTAGATAGGGAGTGCTAGTGATTAGAATGAATAAGAGCGACATGCTGAGAACGGGATGTTTGTAGGCGCGGTCGCCTTAGTAACTAACCGTTGCCGCCCGATCAACCCCGCTGCGCAAGGCACCGTCGAAACTAGTGTAACGTGAAGCCACTTTGTGCCTAAGCCCTGGTGCTGTGTATGAGTAAGTTTTCATATTCTTCGTCCTATTTTGAAATTTTCACTCATTTTGCAACAGTTTATTGTAGATTTTGTCTCTCCCTCTCTCACTCTTCATGGTTTAAAGCATTTGTGATCGCGCCGAATATATTCTATTGGCAGTTAGCAGAACATTTATATATTCGGATATCTGTTCGCGCCCCGGAGCCTTAGAATACATATGTCTGCCACTGGCTAAGGTCCTAAAATTCACGAATATCTCGTAATCTCGCATGCGAAATAACCAGGTACAACAATTCATAAATATCATAGCCTTAATACTACTCCTTAGACTCATTATAAATTTGACTCAAGAGGCTAAGATCCCTCGCTTTGTACCCTTATTAAATGACCAGGAAGCATGCAGCATGCCAACATTTGTTTATCAACAAACCACAGATATAGGATTTTCAAAAGCAGCTGTGACGACATCTTGCAATTTTAGTTATATTCTCAGCATGACCTGCTCCTGCTAGCCCGAAGGTGACAACTAGATTTGAACTAAGTCTGGTCATATGCATTGATGTCACAATTTCCAGTCGCCAAAGTTCGGTAGGGCCGGCTTTATAAATTGCACTTTGCTGCAATGACTTCTATATGCAGCACTTGTGGTAACTATCATCAGTTGAAAACATGCACTTGCATGTGTAATCACTAACACAGGTGTAGCAAGCGTAGACTGGTCAGTCAATTCTTTCTCATATAGTAACAATCTTCTTGACTGTTTACTGTCATTGTAACTTTGTGATTGTGAGCAGAGGGATTGAGGCGGATGCGGCTGACGTTCACCTCAACAGCAGTTAATCCACACGACCGTGGGGATGGGAGAGTTTTAGGTTAAGTCGTCTGCAATAAAGAAACTATTGATATCTAAGCTGTCCCAGTACAATGAAACAATCCTGTTTACGTGATCTATTCATGTTGCAGACCACCATAATTCGGTCTTGCACAGAAAGAAGCTGCGATCGCATTTCCGGTTCTCATCTTGACTGGTTGCGTTCAATCTGCTTCGCCGTGAAGTCAGATCCAGTTGGTTTGCTTTCATTTAGCACCCTTTAATAAAAACAAATTGCATGCTCGGAGACTCGTTACTTTTCTGTCTAAGGGATGAACATGATTTCGCAGACTGCCTGAATTACACTTCGTTTTGTATTAACTAAACGGCCGGCCTCGGCCACAGGCGCAGTGTTTCCTCCAATTCCGTTATAGGGCCTGTCTTTTTTAGCCCTTCGCCTCCTGTATACGATGTTAAGATGCCTGTTTCCAAAGGTTTTTTTTCATGCTGTTCTACAGACAATAATCATGCTAATTTACGTCATGCGGGCACTTGTTTTCTTCCGCCAATTAGGCTAATAAATTTTTACTGTATACATAAACCAAATAGCCGACTCCATTACGAATTGCAGACGAGTGTTCGCTTTTACCCCGACAGTAATTCGGAGGTTGGACCTGAGGTCACGAAAATTATTTTTTACCGAGAATGATTTCATAGGAAAAAGGTTTTATCTTAACAGAAATTTGTTTGCACAAGAATATCGCGCCAATTCTTAAACGGTGATCATTTCTATGTATAAACATCCACTTTTGTGGAGTCTTCAGATTCAAATCCACCGAAAATTTTTTACAGCTTTGTTACATGAGCTATGGAAATCAAAAGTTAAACCTTCCATCAATAAATATTTGAACTAAATATATTGCCTTGATTCAGTTACAATCATC